ACTTGTGTAAATAATTATGTAAATAATTGTGTAAATATTTATGTGAATAATTGTGTAAATATTTATGTACATAATTGCGTAAATATTTACATAAATAATTATGTAAATATTTATGTGAATAATTGTGTAAATAATTATGTAAATACTTATGTAAATATTTATGTGAATATTTGTGTAAATAATTATGTAACTAATTGTGTAAATAATTGTGTAAATAATTATGTAAATAAATATGTAAATTCGCGTTTTTATGTAGAATACTAAAAAAAATCTGTTTCGATGTTTACAACACGGTGAATCGATTGTTGATCGTCGTTTTCGAAAGGAATCGTTTCGGTTCGATAAAGAAGCACATGCCTTGTTGGAATGCAATATCAGTGGCGAAATGTATGTACGTATTTCTTTTTCTGTTCAGGGCATCTGTCCAGGAAATCGATTGAGACTCTTGGTCGGCCAATATGATACAGGGGGTTGTTTGGTTGGCAGCAGGCCTGACCTAACCATTTCCGAAGATGGTGTACAGAGACATGGAAAACGGCGTAGCTGGCACGTCCAGCCAAACAGGGTGAGTCATTTGTGGCACAATCCTATTATTAAATTCGTGGAGCATAGAGAAACTTCCGCTCCCCTCCTTTTCTTTCTCCGCTTTGACGATATATTTTGTTTAGCTCGACATAGGAGCAATTTACTGAAAGTATTCATTAAAACTAAACATCGGAGCAACTAAATGTAACATAATTGAAAGCATCACGTACTCGGAAAAAGTCAGCAAAAGTTACATTCGCCCGAGGACGCAGCAAATCATTTACTGAAATATACTTTTCACAACAAAGTCGGATTACCGCCGACAGAAACGTTGCACGAGAGATTGTTTTAAGCCGAATAAAATTTTGAACTATGAATCATAATTACTTCAAGTTACTGTTAAGTTAATTTGAATTCTCATTTAAAATATTTATTATAATTTGGAACGATACTTAATTTTAAACCACTCCTAATTAAGTTACATTCAAATTATCAACAATTAACTCTATGCCACATCTTAACCCTCAACCATAAAAGGATATTAATTAATAGCTTATTGGTTAGTTTCAAACATATTTTTCATACAGTGGACTCCATTGTAACCCTCCTCTATAATATTCAGACTTATAATAATGATAAATAAATATAATAATCTAATATTCAGACTTCAGATATTCACCTCTCTTTTTACCTCATTTAATCAGTTAGCTGTTTTTTGACGAGTATACTCGTCACGAAGAAATGGCAATATATTTTGTGTTACGACGAGTATACTCGTTCTGTGTAAAAATTTGCTGTTCAAATTACACTTTTAATGAAAACTAAAATATATTCGCCAATTTTAAAATGTTTCGAATATTTCGAAGCCAAGACAAAGGAACAAATAAAAAGGCTATTAATAATTATTACGAAAAAACTGTGTACAATGTGTACAAATAGTTGTTTCTTCCGTTGCGACACAGTTTAGGTGCACACCTTTCAAAGAGATCGCAACAGCTAACTGGTTAAATCTGAAAAAAGCTAACCGATTAAATGAAAATGAAATAATCGATTAATTTGAGAAACATTCTTATTCAATAAACCCGAAAATTACTTACCGTGTGCCCTCGCAAGATAAAACCGTTGCGAACCGATTGCTTTCGAAATAGAATTACAGCAGGTTCGTCCGTCGGCACAAACGCCCCTAAGCGGAATCGATCGCACGAGCACAAAAGAATGATCTCGAAGGATCCGTCTAAACATTCCGGGCTCCGGATTGCTCCCTTTGGTACTTCATCTAACTCGATTGGACGATATCGACGAGCCGATCTATTATCCCCGGAGGTCGCATTTTATTGGCGTTGCGTGCAGCTGCCGTCCGGCGTTTAATTTATTCGCGATTTGAAAAGACGCTGAAATTCATGAAGTTCAAGCCCATCGTCCTCCACTCTGTCCCATCGATCGACTTTATACGCGGTACGCGGTACGGACACACAATGGCGTCGTCGGCGGCAGTGGTGGTTCCATTGTGTTCACCATAACTCCTCCACCCCTGAACACTCCACCGGTCCTCTCCCCCCCCCCCCCTCTTTAAAGCCCCGGTCATGTAGGCTCGAGTTCACGTAGAAACGGGATCTGTCAAAATCAGCTGACGACCAATTCGTTTCCCGGGCTCTCCTTCTGGCCACTGACTGGGTGTCTGCTATTGGCGTCGCTCAGCATCTGTCACCAACGATCATATAGCTAACACCGAGAACCGATGAATTAGGCTCGGATAAATTTCGTTCCGAGCCACCGGCTAATGCTCTCGTAAGCAGTCGACTCGGTAAGAAATTTGATCGCTGTTCTTTAGGATTTTCAAAACTGTAGAATCGGGTATAATTCTACCTTATGCGAGACATGTGATATTCAAATGCTATGTTAATCTAACGTTCTTCTATTTGGATCTTGAAGACGATGTGACTGTACTTTATCGAATTGTGAATCTGTTAAAATTGTGTGATTTCGCTGCTAAAGATGTTTGAATCGTTGTTACACGATTATTAGCGGATCTTAAACATTCATAGCAGAAATGGTTGACTAAAATAAGGGTGGTGAATATTTTATAATTTATTACTGTAAGTGAACGCTCCCGAAACAAATTAGTGTTTTTTTTTTAAAAAGCATTAACATTTTCCTTTTGCTTTCCTTCTGGTTCAGTTCATTTGTACGCCATCTTATAATAAAAATTGGGCGTTGCACTATTAGTGGCATTGTTATTTTTTACAACTATAATCTGCAAAATCCTTATTCACCGGAATTTCAAGGTTAATGGACTTACACAGATTGGCTTGTAAGACGTTTATGTTTTATATTTATGTTTTTTTCATAATCATCGTAAATATATTAGTAAATAAATATATTATAGTCGACAAATTGTGTATTATTGGGTAACGAGCGATAGAATAAAGTGAAATAAAAGATCTGTAAAATTATTACTTGAGACAATGGTATTGTATGCACTGGAAAAGCAACATACATAATCATTTTAAACTTTTTAATATTCATTTGGATTGCAAGATTTGATTTACGTCGCTTCTGCATTAAACGGCTCGTGTTAAAATGAACATTAAGAAAGTGATTGTTGTATCGTTCCAACACACGTGTCCCAGGATTAGTCGCATAATCGAGGTTTTACTGTATTTTACAATTCCTAGCGAAAACAACATAGAGAAGTATAAGAAAATAAAATAATAATATGGCTCAACTGCAAACTGATTTTGTTCATAGTTCATATCTATATAAATGCATTTTTTGGGATTGCGAACATGAAGTGTAATAGTGGAGGCTAACAATAAGCATCTGCAAAACATCAAACACTTTAATGTAAAGGTATGAATTTAAATTAATTTATTGTCATTATTTATTATTGCAGAATGCATTAATTTCATAATACGACATACGTAACGATGCGTATTACAGATTTTCAGATCTTTGTAAATGTATAGTTTATAAAGCAGTTCAAAAGTCTCTAAACTTCAAAGTTCGATGTAATTTAATACAGTTTTGATTTACTTACTATTCGCTATGTACTAAAATTCTGTTTAATTTCACTTTCTCGAAACTAGTCTACAAATATAGAAAATTGCATAAACATCCGAAATTGAGTGATTAAATCCCTAAAAAGCGAAACTTCAGTGCGACAATGTACAGGGTATCCTAGGTTTTTTTCGGCATAACTTTGCTAGCGTGTTCCACGAGCAAAAATAAGGAAAAAATATTATACTAACATATGCTCTTAAATGTTTTATTAAGGATTTATAATTAATAATACAAAATGATAATGAACTGGCGTTTCGTCGATAGAGCGTACGAACATCATCAGTGTTATAGAAACTCACATAATCTCATTGAAGCTCTGTGTTTATCAACAAAACCAAATTAAACATAACTAAGCAAAATAACAGTAGAACTTCTTAATGTAATAATAATGTAATAACATTTCAAGATGCCGTCCGTTATTGCAATCACAGGTTTATCACCTAACAAAAATTCACGCTATCGCATTACTAAGTTTATTATCATTTTATTTATTAATGAATTCCTTAATAAAACATTTAACAGCATATGTTATGTATAACATATTTTGTTCTTGCTTTTGCTCGTCAAATACGCTGGCGAAGTTATGCCGGAAAGAACTTGGACACCCTGTATATATGTTTAACAAATCTAGAATTACGTGTCGATAAATAACGGAAAATCTGCTAGGCAAAATTAATCTGCAACGCAAGCGTGTACGCGGTGAATCGGCATTTGGCGTCAGTCCTCGATTCGCGATCTCCATTACGAAACTCGTGACAGATGTTAGCCGGCACGAAATGAAAATATGTGTACGTACAGAGACACGGTGCATTAATCACGCGACTCGTTGGATATTTAGTGCGCCGGGCATAATATCCGTCGCGCAATTTTCGCTAAATCGAGAACGCGTCGACGGTGTGTCCCCGCCGAAATCGGAGTCGTTTGGGGCCGTAGATACGATTATCGATGAATAATTACAGCTCTGCCCGCGCCGCGCAACGGGAGCGCATAGATATCTCGAATGCACGAGGGCCTATTCTCTAATTGCGGTGTAAATTCACCAGAACTAATTAAATCCGCGATACTTAATACAAGGAATTAATGGAACACGCCGAAATTGAGATCGACGAGGACTCGTCGACGATGGAAATTAATCGTTCAGCGATCCGACAGTGCTACCATGGCGCCGGAAAACATTTCGTTAAACAAAAATGATCAATAAACAATGCTTGTGATATTTGATGCGAGACGTTAATGGAACAACTTGTATGAAATCGACGCAAACTCGACAATGATAGAAATTAATCGACCATCGATCTGGCATCTTTCACAAAGTGTTTCGTCGAAGAAGAACGATTAATAAGCAATAAATAATTGCAAGAGATGCAAAAAGTGAAACTTATGGTCGAAAAGTAAGCCACTTCTCTGCAATTCATTTACCACATTGTTTTATTCGACCAGCATTCCTTCGGATTTATGCTGAAATATACAAATCGGTAACTGCCAATAAAATTGTGCTACCTTTTAAGAAACATAGTGTTTTAAGCGTCTACATATTTGAAAAAGATGTGACGATAATACTGTATTGTTTCTCTATTTTTCGTGGCGTTAAATAATTTGATGCGACGATATTGTAGCAACACAGATGGTGAAAATTTAACGCAAGAGTTAATCGAGAAACGTTGATATATTTTTCGACGACAAAATTTGGAAGGGTAGAAAACTACGGCCGTACATGCTGGGATTCCGTTCGATAAAGAATATATTTCCGTTGCACCACGATCTCGCATTTATATTCATTTCTCAGCCCGCTGAATTTCCGATTGGAATCCTTGAGGGCTCTATCCGCGGGCTGCCGGTCATAACTCAGGCTTTCTTTTATGTTGCCGTAGATTTCGATGTAAAGAGACGATGGAAAGAAAGGGAGAATAAAACAAAAGAGTTCTGTTCACGAGCATGTATTTGTTATTCAAATAGCCATACAAATAGGTACACGGGCGG